CCCGTGTGGGTGGGTGGCCATTGGATGCTGCTCAGGAAAGAGGGTCCCCCCTTCTCTCCGGGGGTTTGGTGCAGAGATAAAGGGGGTGCTGCTGTGGGATTCCAGCGGGGAGAGCACAGGGGGTTTAACGAAACATCATCGGTGCTTCCCGGTGTCTCCCCACTGTCATCCGCAGCAATATCCCCGAGGATTCCCCCCCCAATTTCAGTAAAACCAAAATAAAACCACTTTCCTCCTTGCTCAAAATTTTCCACCATAAACCAGCAAAATTAAACACTAGATACTAATTATTGGGGGGGGGGAAAAAAGTATCCACCAGGGAGTTTAATCCATCAGCTACCAGCCCTAAATCCACACCTTCAGCTCCCTCCGTTGGATTTTTTTCCCCACCCTGAGTGTGCCAAACCCTCCTGCGCATCCCAGGGGGCAGCTAATTAGGATTAGCTGCCGCATATTAATTTTATACTCCCATATGAAGCCGTGGGCACGGCCGGGAGCAGCGGTGCACCTTCCGTCGGTGATTTCAGCTTCATCCCACTTATTCTTAAAATCAAGTTAAGCGGGAAAATAAAACAGGGGAGCTGGGGGGCGGCAGGGAAAGGGGCTTCCCAAACCCGCAGCTGCATCCCAGCCCTCCCCAGTTCCAACGGGAGCAATCCCATTCATTTGGGCCATTTTATCTGGGAGACCATTTAAGGGTGTTTTCTCTCCCTGCCCCTCGCCCTGGGGCTGAGTGGGGGGAGCTGGGGGAAGGGATGTGCCTGCAGCCATCAGTTAATCTTTAGACAGAGACAGGAGGCTTTTTTTTTTGTGTGCGTCTTGAGGGAGTTTCAGGGGTGGAATAAAGCCTCTCTCTTTCACTTATTTCCCATCAGGACGTGGCGCACAAGCGGCGCGATGCAAAATTATTCCAGTGGTTATTAAAAAAAAAACAACAACAAATAACCACACACACACACAAAAATATAAACCAAAGAAGAAATTGCTCCTCCATCCCTCCCCCTAAAAGCAGAGATGCCAACCCCAGGGTGCCCCTTTCCCATGGAAAAGCATAATCCTGGTTCTCCCAGATCCTACAGCTGCCCCCAGCAGCACCCCTGGGTGCCCACCCAGCACTTTTGGGGTCACCCTGGTCCCGGAGAGCAACCACAGGAGCGATGCACACCAGAAAGCAGAAAAAAGAGATATTTTTTGAAATGTGCCCCATGCCTCTATTAGCATCGTGGGTTCAACTCACTAACGAACCGCTGCTCTGAGTGGGTTCCCCCCCTCCCCTCGCTGCCACCCCAGCTCTGCACAAACCAAAGCCCCCCCCCGGCCACATCCTGCTCGGTTTTGGTTTTGTTGTTTGGTTTTTGGTTTGTTTTTTTTTTTTTTTAAAGACCTCACGTCACGTTCGTGTCTTGCCTGGCTCCGCGCAGGGGGACGGCACATCACAGGTGGGGTGACAGTCAAAACCCACAGCCCAAATGGCAGCCATCATCCCCCTCCACCCCATCCCCTGCCCAGCCGAGCAGGGATGGAGCCCCTCCACCAACCCCAACCTCTGTGGGGCTCCCCAAAACATCAGCACCCAGGGGACCGTGAGGGGACCGACCCGGGGGACACTCGGGCAGGGCAGGAGTGGAAGGTACCAGCACCAGTGGGTCTGACTGTGGGCACAGCCTTACACCCCCACCAGGACATCACCTTACATCTCCACGTGGGACCATTTCACCAAGATGCCACCGACTGCTGCAAGGTCCCAGCTGTGCCCAGAAGTTCTCCTGGCCAAAAATCAGGAGAAGGAATCAACAAACCCCAACTCGCATGGTCTTTCTCAAGGGTTTAGACCTGTTGTTGACAAATCCCATCAATTTGGAGCAGCTGTTCCCAAGGGCCAGGCAGCCCCTTCCCCTCTCAGCTGGGGAGACTGGAACCAGTTTTGGGGATGGGCTGCAAACCCCAGCCCTGCTCCATGCTTCTCCTACTCCATGCCAGCCACGCTGAACTGGGATGATTGGGATGAGCCAAACCCAGATTTTCTCCTCTCCCTTTTCCCAGGTTGCCATCCCCAGCAGCCCCACAAGCCTGGAAGTGATGCCCAGAGCCGTGGGGCGAGCCCAGGAGCCACATCCCCAGGGGACCACCACCAGCTTTGGGGTCTTCCCCAGCACCAGCCTGATTTCTGCCACATCAAGACCCCCCACCCTTCCACCGGTGCTGCTCAGCCCTTCGTCTCCCCCGGGACAAGGCTCCTCCGTACTTCATCCCCCCCTGTCTCCTCACAGCCCTCAAATGAATCCATCTCCAGTGTCCAGGGGAGGCATTTGAACCCAAATGCCCCATTTTTAGCTCACAATGCGAGGGAAAGGCAGCCCCGAGGAGCCCTGTTAGTCTCCTGTCCTGCCGAGATTTTAATCTCTTTGTGATCAGATAAAGGGAGAGGGAGATGGAGACGCGCTCCCTGCAGAGAAGGGCCATTCAGACCTGGTTCCTGTAATAAAGTGATTTAATAGATCTAAAGAGGCCAATTCCCTTCTTTCTCCCACAATTACTTCCTGTGGGTCATCATTCACATATGTAAATGAAGAGGGGAAGGAGCGGGTTATGGGGGGCTCTGTGGTGTTAAACCCCGATGGCTGGTTTGGGGCACCCAGTGAGGTGTGGGTGGTGGGTGCTGGATGCAGCACCCCAAATCCTCTGTCTTGTCCCCCCAGGATGGTGCTGGCTTTTGCCCTCCCAGACCTGACCCCCTCCCTGGGGACCGGGGCTCTCGGGAAGCACCAGGATGGGGAGAGCATCACTAGAAGTGCCCTTTTCCCCTCAAACCACCCAAAAGCAGCGAGGAGGGTTGGGAGCATGAATTTGGTCCCTCTCCAAGGAGGGGCCGGGATGCTCTGTGATGGGAGAGCATCAGCCCTGGCTGTTTTGCTGCAGGCGACAGCAACTTTGTGCCACCAGAGAGTGGGGCAGGAGGCAAAGCCCAACCTGGAGGAGAAAAATTCGGCATCAGCCCAAAAACCCCCTGCTCCTGGCAGCGAAAAACCCGGCGCTGGGAGCTGCTGGCTGCAGCAAGGAGCCACACAAACACACACATTGCCTCTCTTCAACGCAAAAATCACCCTCTTTTACCCAACATTCATTGTATTTCCCCAATGCAGCAAACCCTGTGCACCCCATGGCTGCCCCATGCTGCAGGCGACAGCAACTTTGTGCCACCAGAGAGTGGGGCAGGAGGCAAAGCCCAACCTGGAGGAGAAAAATTCGGCATCAGCCCAAAAACCCCCTGCTCCTGGCAGCGAAAAACCCGGCGCTGGGAGCTGCTGGCTGCAGCAAGGAGCCACACAAACACACACATTGCCTCTCTTCAACGCAAAAATCACCCTCTTTTACCCAACATTCATTGTATTTCCCCAATGCAGCAAACCCTGTGCGCCCCATGGCTGCCCCAGCCCCAGCAAACGGGGGTCGGGGGGGGGCTGCACCTCTCCCCAGCTGGTGGGATGCTCCCGGCAGAGACACCCCGACTAATTCTCTTTTCCTGCAGGAATGTGAGCAAGAGCAATCAGGAAACCAGACTGTCTGGGGGCAATAAACCCCGGGGAGAGGGAAGGGAGGGAGGGAGGGTGAGAGGCTTCTCCCCACGGGCTCTGGGTCCCGCTGTGCTACATTGAGATGCAAAAACCCCATTTGCTCTCTCCCGGCACCAGGGTCTTGATTTTCCCCGGCTGATTTGGAGCCTTCACCTCCAAAGCCTGTTTCTGGCTCCTACCAAGGTGCTTTCACCACGCTGCAGCCGAAGGAGAAGGGATTTTCTTCTTCCCTGGTCATCATTCCCTTGCCAAACGGCCGGAGCCCTGCCTGGAGCAGCAGGGACAGGGAGGGAGAGATCCCCGGGAGCCCCCACAGCCAGAAGAACAGTCCTGCACCCCCAGCCCATCAGCAAACTGCAGGACGGACCCTAATTTGGGGGATTTGAGCCCGTGGAGAGCAGCAGCCCCCAACGCCGGTGGGTCCAGGGGGTCCCCGGAGGCAGCACTACCTCGACCCAAATCCTGTGTGGCTGCTGTACCCACAAACACACTCCTGTTTGCTCCAGAGATGCCAAAACCCCCTTCATTTGTGCTCCCCATCCCTTAGAGCTGTTGCTTTCCACAGCCCACCCTTATCACACAGACCCCTTTCCGCACAAGCCGGCGCTGAGCCCCACATCTCCCCCCCCCCAACGCTGGCTCCGATTTGGCCACCATCTCCACACCCCAGCTCCTAAATGGGGTCCCCCCGGCAGATCCAGATCCTCCCCCGCCAGCCCGGGGGAGTTCAAACAGCCACAGCCTCAAATCCACAACTTCCCTCACTGCAGGGTCACTGCCGGGCGTGGGGCTTCCCCCTCAGCGATGTGTCTGTGGGTCAAATCCGGACACGAGGCTGTCACCATCCTACAGGATCCACGGACACGACCCTGCCCGCCTTTGTGCCAGCCACAGCCAAAACAAGGGGTCTGGGCAGAGACACCCCCTCCAAAGGATGAGCCACCAGTTGGGGAAAAACCCAATCCCGCATCCTTTTCTGGCTCGAGGCTCCCAGGAGCCTGTCCCCAGGGAAAAAAAAAATAAAGGTCTTCTCCATGGGGTGGGCAGCATCCCCGCTCTGGCACGTCCCGCTTCGCCCCGCGGGCACCTGCTCCCCTGGATCCGGCCCCATGGGACTCCCCAGGGAACCACAATGGGAAAATGAAATTGCCTGGGGATCAGTTTACAGCATGGATCCCCGGAGAGGAGCCACGGGCTACGGTGGGGCAAGTCCCTCTGCCTGCCCTTCGCCACCCGAAAGGTGGGGAAACGAACCCAAACCCGGGAGACTTGGGCATCACCGGACGGGGATGGGGGGGAACAACGGCATCGTGTAGAGGAAGCATGGGGGTTCCCATCCCACTTTGCATCCTCCCTCGGGGGGGATGCTAAGAGCTGCACCCCTTTTCCCTCCCCAAATCATCAGGAGGGATCCCGGCCACGTACCTGGTGCACGAAGACATCGACGGGCGAGTCCAGCGTCGCGCCGCCCTTGGCGGTCATGGAGAGGAACCCGAAGCCCATGCGGACGTTGAACCACTTACAGATGCCGGAGCCGTGCAGAGGTTGGGGCTCGTTCTCAGCTTTGGGGGAGTCTCCTGCCGGCTCCTCACCCGGCTTCGCACCTGGGGAGAAACCCACCGAGCCACTGAGCACCCCACGGGGGTCCCCTCCCCAACCCAGCCACCCCACAGCCCAGCCAGGCAACCCACAGCAGGAGCCTCAAATCCTGCTGGGGTTCTCTAGGTTGAAAAAAAAGGTAAAATAAATAAAAAACCCCCAAAAACTCAACCAAAAAAACCCAAAACCCCCCAATCCCAAACAGAGCAGGCAGCTCTGCCTCCATGTGTGCGTGGGGATCACCCCAAAAGTGGGGGGAAAGGAAGGCAGCTCCTGCCGGCACGACCCGAAGGGTGCGTGGGGTGGGAGCCTTAAATCCATTCTCCCCTTCAAAAACGTCAAAAATAATAATTTAAAAAAAACAAACAAACAAAAAAACCCACCCCCACTGAACCCAAAAAGCTAAAAACGAAAAAAATACAAAACATACAAAAAAGGGAAAAAACACCCTCAAAATACCAACTGGAAATTCCCCTACCCCCAGCAAGCCACGCTGGAGAAATTAAATTCTCTCCCCTGCCCCAAACTTCTGGGCTCATCCTTGGGTTGGGGAGGAGGAGGGGGTGGAAAAAAAAATAAATAAAATAAATTAGATAAATTAAATGAATTAAATAAATTTGCCCCCTCCTCAAACTCCCCCAGAGCTGCAGCGGGGGAGCAAACCCACGCCGGGCCTGGCCTCGCTGCTGGGGCTTGGGGTCGGGATGAGGGGGGGTCCCTGTGCCCACCCACCCCCCGGCCGGGCTGTGCCGCCGTTATTATTAATCGCGGAGCCTAGGCTG